CGTGTGCTCTTCCGATCTATTTATAAACACCGTTAAAAATGTATCAGGCTATACTAAGGACTAAACACATTGCTGTTGTACAATGGCGATGGTTAGCTGACCAACAATCGATTTCAACTTTATTGATTGAATTAAAAACTATAAAGATTCCCAGAAATAATCAACAATTCGAATGCAATAGGCTAATGGAAGTCGGCGCGGTAATTGCGCAAAGTTAATTTCAATAAATTACACAAGTTTATCCCGTGTATATAAATGAATAATAAGAGAGGGTTAGGTTTATGAATTTATCATCTTGTTATATACCTACACGGATTCAATGTTTGTTGCAACTGGATGGTAACTTTTCATTATCTCATTGTAATAAAAATAAGACAATCATTGATTTCGAAAAAACATAGAAAATAATATAAAAAATTTAACTTTTCCTATACAGAACAAATAAGAAATAGAACTATTTCGTTAATTAATAATTTATTTTTTTCTTCTGCAAATAATAATGCAATCGACACGTAGCTTATACAATTAAAGAAAATAACTGATAAATTCTTAAAAGATAATCCGGATGTTATACTTACTAGAGCAAACAAAGGTAATATATATAACAATTGCGTTAGACAAGAATTCCTACATAAATAAAATTAACGAAATGCTTCAGGACAACCAAACTTACATTTGTAAATTAAAACACGATGGAAATATGGTCTACGTAATACCGATCCTTTGACTGATAAATGTATCATTGAGGATGGTCAGAAGAATGGCCGAAACGTATGGAAATAAATTTATATACACTAGATAAACTTGTGTAATTTATTGAAATTAACTTTGCGCAATAATTACCGCGCCGATTCCCATTAGCCTAATACATTCGAATTATTGTTTATTGATTGAATTACAACGAAAATTGAAATTTGTAATCGCGCGCGTGTGCACGCACATACACAAACATAAAATGCAATTTTAAATAAATTTATGTAATTTAATTTAATCAAGCTTCTTCTCACTTTCTTATTGCATATAAAGATGAGAACTACATTAAAAATTAATTGATTCCAAATGCGCAAGTTGAAAGAAATTTAGTGCATATGTAAAAATTATAATATAAAATTGAGTATACATATATATAAAAATAATAATTAGAATTTATTATGGAAGAAAATATGGAAATTAAATATTCAAAAGTCATTCAGCAATTATTCCGTTATTGCATTGATTATTCTTATTATTCCTGATATTGTTTTAACATGTCGTTCGCAAGCAACAGATACT